ACATTGTGAATGTACTAAAAATCATTGAATTGTATACTATAAAAGGAGTGCTTTTGTGGTATGTGAATTATATCACAATTTTTAAAAATGACCCAATGAGTAGGCATCGTCGTCATCATCATCATCCTTATTTCAGCCACAAGGATGCTAGGTTGGCTTGGTAGGATTAGCATCTTGCCAAGGCCAGAACATTAGAGCTAGCCAACTACAGAGCCTGGCTCCGAAGGATGGCACAACATGTCATGAATTCAGGAGGAAAGAGCAGGGTTCCTCTCACTCCATATCTGAGGCAGGGAGGAAGGCCTGTCTGGGAGGACTACATCTCACCATGACACACGGGTTCATGCTCCAGGGAGATGGCACCATTCCACTGAGAAGTGCTGATGTCTGTGTTCATAAATTTAACCTATCAGGTAGGCAAACATGCAAAGTACCAAAGCCGGAGCCTACTCTGGACCTGGAAAAATTGCTCTGGTGTGCTGGGCATGGGCTCAGAAAACCTAGAGAGGGCACATTTTAACAAGGCTGTGCTGAGTCACCTCACAGAAAACATACAATTAATGAGTGAAATGCACAGGCCTTCATGGGCACATCGCTCCTTCCCGGTCCAAAGAAAAAAAAATCAGCAGAGGTACCTTTAGACAAAAACCACTGGCCTGTTTTCTTGTATGAACCAGGTAGCAATAGTTCTGGCTACTATCTGGACCAGCGTTTCTTCCTATCAATACCAAGTATGAGAAACAGAGCCTTGTTGCATTTGCACAAAGAAAATTAATGAACAGTGTCAAGTTTACTGAAGATTTGGAAGGGGATTGGAGGACAGGAGATTTAGCCGCCCACTCATACCACATCTTTACTCCTCTGCTGGACATTCTTGCCCTCCCAAGTCCCTTCTCTGTGGCTCTGTCATCAGGGCTCGTCTCTCTAGGCCTTTGACCCCCACCCCACACACAACCTGCCTTGCTGGCTTCTCTCTGTTTCTCCCTCCTGAGAACAGCATGAGTGCAAGTCCTGGCTCCATTGCTTGCCAGCTGTAAACTTGGCATGTACCATAATCTCTCTGTGCCTTGATTTCCCCATCTGTAAAGTAGGGATAAGAGCACTTTCTCTGAAGATCATTGTGGACATTAAATGAGTCAATACATGTAGAGTGCCCATGGTAAGCTCCTTCTAAGTATTCTGCTGTAGAGGAAGTTAGTAACAACCTTGTTAGCGGAGTAAGGTCAAGACCCTGCTCTACCTCAGGTGGTTCATCACGTTATTTCATCCAAATGAGTAGAATGCCTTCTCTGAGGGGAATTTTGGTGAATAAATATCCTTCCAATGCTTTTTCCTTTTTCTTGCTGTGCTTTCAAGGCCACCGAGTCCAGCACTGTCTGGCGTATTGTCCCTCGGAAGGAGCCTGCGTAGACCCCGTCATTGTGCCTGGGTGGCAACAGAAGGCTATGTGCTAAGGGAAATCAGAACTGCTTCCCTGCCACAGCTGACTGGACCAGGCATTGGTTTCTGAGGCAAAGGCAGCCACATGCCTTCCCCTACCTCAAACTCCTGAGCTCAGAGGATCATTCATCATTATCATCATCCTCAGCCTCCCAAATTGCTGGGATTACAGACATGAGCCCCTGTGCCTGGCCGTGGCTGACCCTCAGAGACATATCTCTTATCTGCAGCATAAAGCATCTGCCAGGTATGTTGGTCCATACATGGCAGGAGAGGAGTGCATGAGCTTGATGGCATCTTAACATCTCCCATCTGCTTACATCCCTCCCACAGGATCCCTGGAGGAGGGCCAACTCTGCTGGGGGATTTGAGTGGGGACTAGGTGGGAATGACATAGGCCACAAGAGTGTACAGTCCCTGATGTCCTTAAGCCTCCTGCCGCAAGATGGCAGAGCTGGATTCACACCTCATGGCTGTCTTCGGGGTTCTTCCCACTGCTGCCCTCTGTGCCCCAAGATAAGGCTCCAAGCTCCCCATAAAGCAGGGTTTCCTGAGTTGCTAAGTCACGATCAAAGCCTTCCTGCCCGGTGTTAGGTGGCAGGACTGACCTCTCTCGAGGAAATGCAGGGTTTGCTGGGTGTGGGCAGAATGTGTGCTCCTAAGTCACGTGGGTGACACTGAATCGCAGCCCTGTCTTTTGATGTCCCACCTGCACAGTTCCATTTAAATAGTCAAATCCTGTCCTCTTTCCTGAGTGCAAAGGCCCCTCCCCAGCGAAGCTGCACTCAGTTCCTGAAGCTCCAAAGACACCTGTCTAAACCACTAGGTGGAGGCCCTGCCCAAGGTCCCCTTGCCTACTAGAGGGGTCCTTGGAGGAAGCACCAGCCACTCAGGCAGGATGAGATCTGGAGCCTGGGGAGGTGGGAGGAGTGTGACCCTTTTCCATCTGGATATTTCTAAGGAAGGAAGGTGAGACTTTGTGGCTTCCTTCTGAATCCTGGCTCACTTTTAAAGCAGTGTCACTACCTGGCCCTGTCCCCACAGCTGTGCTACTCAGGTCCCCCAAACTCAGCAGACTTCCAGGACTGAGGGGCAAAGAAAGCCCAGCCAGGATGGCGAAGGGCTGGGTTTGCACCAGTCCACAGGGAACAGAGAAAACTAAGGACGATGGAGTTTGTATTTCAGGAAGTTAGATCTCTTTGCTTTAAAGAACTAGCTTTTTTTAAAAAATGTTTGTCCTTCCTGCCTTTTTGGTGCTAAGAATGCTTTCTTTCACAAAATGAAGTGTTGGAAGATAATAGTTAGCCTTCATTTGGTTAGTTTTTACTTTTTTAATTTCCTCAATTGGCAAATCAAGGGTAGCAGTCGTATGAGATCTTCCAGTTTTCTGGAAAGTCTGCTGGTTCATGGGATCCCACAGCCTGGAGCTCAATTATGCAAGAAGGCAGCTTGCCTGACCAAGCAGAGGAGAAAGGCGAGCCCTGAGCCTGGACAGGTCTGGCCCAGGACTGGAGCTCCTGGTGTTTATAGCCAAGGAGCTTTAGGATAGGAGGTTGATGAGAACTCCAGGCATGGGTTAAGAGGATGACTGAGTCTGTGTGTACCACGGATACCTCCCTAAGGTTCAGACTCTGAAAGGAACTCAGTACAGACAAGATGTCAGTGAGAACAGGTGGAGGAAGGAATACAGGAACCAGGCCTAGATTCCAGTTTTGCCCCCAGTCAGCAGGGTGGTCATGGACAAAAGCTTCAGCCTCTCTGAGCTCCGTCTGTCCCTGCAAAGTTAGGGCTGTTGAACTAGATGTTCTCCAAGGCCCCTCCAACTCTGGCTCTGACTCGTGGTGTCCCTAGACTCTGAGATGCTCATAGCTTAGAGTCAGAGAGACCCAGGTCCCACGTCTGTAACCTGTTCAAGCAAGGCCCTGGTCAGAGGGCTGGGGCAAAGGTTAATGAGAGTGAGCCCTGGAAGCTCTTGGCACACAGCCAATACTGACCAGAATCAGCCGTTTGCCAAGGTCTTGCTGAGGCAGGAGAGAAATTCACGTGGGCCAAGTAGAGTCCGACTAGGATTGTGAGATGCTTCCCCTCTAAGGCCCCATCAGCGGTGGGTCCCCAGTGGGGGAGTCCAGGCTGCCAGGACCTGCGTTCTTTCCCCTGAGGCATGAGAGAGGAGGCACAGGAAGCCTGTCTTTGGAGGTGGGCCTGCTGATTGTCAGCATAGTACAGTTGGCCAGCTGTGAGCCTGGGTTGGTTCCTAATGCCCCTGCTGGCCCTGTAAATACCCTGATTTCTCTTGCTTCCACCCTGAGTCTACACACACACCCGGTATGACTGGGGGCAGGAGGGGTGGGCAAGGCTTTCTCTCATTAACTGGTGGTCTCCTTTGCAGCCTCTGGGGGCGGATGGTCTTGGCTTTGACTGTTGTCACTCACTTAACCCCAGTCTTCATTTCCTCATCTGCAAAGTAAGGGTATTAACAGGACCAGCACTTCAGGTTGTCATGAGGATGAAATGGGTAAACAAAAGCTTAGCACAGTGGGTCCCAGTGGGAGTCAGTGCTCACTGAAAAAACAGGTTTGGGTTCAGCCACCCACTTCCCCTCCTGCCTGGAGAAAGGTAGGGACCTACTGCTCAGAGGGACCTTTCTGCTGGCCCAGGGATGCCACACCCTTCCCCAACTGCTCCCCAGCACTGCCCCAGGCCCGAGGCCCGAGCCAGGGAATGATTAGACCACAGGGCTGCTGAGCAAGGTCCCCCTTGAAACACTCTACAAGAAGGGGGTTTTAGAAAGAAACTTTCAGCAAGTGACTGATTCCCCCATTGTTGGGACAACTGGTACATAAAGCAACATCCCTAACCAGGTAGTGGAGTAAACTGATGGTGACAGAGGGACCCAAATAAATGGGTGGGGACATAGCTGAGTGTCGAGGAGGGAGAGAAGAGGATTTTTGCTGGTAGTGATGGTGACTTCCTCTGTTCTCAGGGCCCCAAATGCAACTTATGAGTGAACTGAAAGTCCTTTCTTGATTAAACCCACCCCATGTTCTTGGCTTCCCAAACAATGGCTTTCTCCAGGGGCCCAAAGCCTGGGTGCAAGAAGGGTTGGCTCTTGTCACATTTGCTCTTCTTAGAGTTTCTGAGCTGTGCATCTTCGACCAGCACAAGCTGAGTGAGCTGATCCCCAACACACCCACCATCATGGAGCCCTGAGCTTCCTCCTGGTTCAAAGAGCCCAGAACCCCTTCTCTTGGCCCCCCAAACCTGAGGAACCCCCCAGCTCCACTGCTTATAAGCAGCCAGGGTGTTCGACCAGAACCTAGAGTGGCTCTGAGAGCCCAGACTGCAAAACCTGCCACAGGACAGCCTCCCTGAACTCCAAGACCAAGGTGTAAGGTGGGCCTCAGCGAGATCCACCAACAAATGGGGGTCGGCGGCAGGGAAGAGTGTGCAAGCCAGGTCACCGTGTCCCCTGTGATGTAAGAACAAACTGTCCCAGTACTTGGCCCCTTCTAAGTCCCTCTGTCGTCTCTGTGCCTAGGGAGGAAGCACATTGTACTTACAGCACACAAAGCGCGTAGGCCCGGGAGATGGACTCGCTGGCACGCACGAGGAAGCTCCCATCCTTGCCTGTCCTGGAGAGCAGTTCCTCCGCCTTGGAGCGGGTGATGTTGCCGTGATTCCAGCAGGGGACCATGGTGGGTGCAGGCCTTCTCAGGTGGGGCCGGCGGACACCCACGGGACCGACACACCACCAAGGGGAGTGGAAGCCCCTGCACTGAGACCTGTCTGTCCCCTCTCAGTGGATTCGGCTGCTGCCACCAGCTTAACTGACTGACTTCCTGTTTCAGGCGCTCAGTGACGGAAAGGAAGCTGAGCTGCAGAGAACTTCCTCATTACAGAAACCAAGCGAGAAAGGGCCCTGGCCATCCACCGTCCTCCCCCACCCGCCGCCCCTCCACTGTCTGTGCCCCTCCCTCTCCCTCACTGGCCTGCTTTTTCCTTGCTTTTCTGAAGGTCTCTGCCTTCAGAAGCATCAAGCAGCAGCTAATGACCTGCCTGAGGGATTGATCAGTTCCTTGGGCGGCGTGTCTGGCTTCTGAAGAATTGTGGCCTAGCAGGTGTGGATGGGCCTAGGGAGTGGCCATTCCATGACCACACCCTGGACAGACCCTCTGAGCCTTCTGTTCTCCCTCAGGACCTTTCAACCCTCCCTCCACCCCACACACACCCGAGGAGCGCAGCTTCTCAACTGGGACTAAGACCTGCCCCCAGGACAGAGGAAACCTCTCTCAGTGGGCGGGGATAGTTGAGCCCTGCCCCTCAGCCATCCAGACACTGCTCTGCCTGGGTGCTGGGAGACCTCAGTCACCATCATCGGAGGGCTCCGAGGCCCTGTGATATCATTACACTCATTCCCAGGGCCCAGTGATGGGTGTGAAGGAAGTTGGGGCCGTGCAGTCTCAATGGCAAAATGACTCTGATCCCTGCATCCCGGCTTGAAGACGCACAAAGGGAGGCTGGATGGCTCAGACGGGGACTGTGTTCGGGGCAAACACAGGCTGGGTGTTCCTCTCTGGGCCTCTCCAGGATACTGGGAAACAAGGTTAGAGAGAACACAACTCCACAGGGCAGGCTGTCTGCCCAGCCAAGAGACTCATTCCTGAGTCCTGCATCCCAGTAGAATCAAGGAGGCCAATCGGAATCCTCCTCCTCCAACACTAGGCACAGCCAAGTTCACCCACTGCTCAAAGGGGAGCTGTCTCCACAGGAACCACCATCCAGCACCAGCAATATCTGAGGGCTGTAAAGTGGACACCAGTCCCTCAGACCCTAGTGTTGCATGTCTCAGTCCTTGGATCAGGCCCACCAAAGAGAAGGGGCAAGTGCTGGCCTATTGCATCCCACATCCAGGTCCCCCCAACCCCCAGGACATGACAATAGGCCCCTTCTAAGAGCCTGAGCCAGGCAGCACCATCACATTCAAGCAGTGGGTGCTTGGTCAACTTTCTTCTCTCTCTCTGCCTCAGCTTCCTCTTTTCTACCTTGAGGGACATAGCTTCTATAGGAGCTTACGTGTGCTCAGTGCCTAGATGTGCACTGCCCTGGCTAAAAGTGGTTTGTTCCAGAACAGGAGCTCCCAGCATGTCCCGCCTATAGCAGCACACAGGTGAGTCTGTAGAGCAAGCAAAGCACTCTTTTTATTTATTTAATTTAATTTTGTTTTTTTTGAGTTGGAGTCTCATTCTGTCACCCAGACTGGAGTGCAGTGGCCACTCCTGGCCACCGCAGCCTCGACCTGCTGGGCTCTGGCGATCCTTCCGCCTCAGCCTTCCAAGTAGCCGGAATTACAGGCATGCGCTACCACGCCCGGCTAATTTTTTGATTTATTGTAGAGATGAGGTCTCGCTGCCCAGGCGGGTCTCGAACTCGCGGGCTCAGGCAATCCACTCACCTCAGCCTCCCAGAGGAGCAGGATTACAGGCTGAGCCACCGAGCCTGGCTAGAGCAAAGCACTCTTATTCAAGGGCCCTGTGGCCAGGCCCTGACCCAGGTGTGGGGTCCAGTAGTGATGAAAGTTGGCACCACATTTTTGTCCTTCCTATGCCAGCTCTGCTCTGAGGCTGCCACCTCCAAAGCAGTGTTAGTGAGGAGGCCTCTCATTCCCTAATCCCACCTTCACTCAAAGCCTCACCAACCCTCTCAAGAGATCATCTGCTTATTCCACACTCTGCATCCTTCTCCTCCTTACTTCCCTGCTGACCTCCACTGACTTCCTTGAAGCCTCGGGTCCCTCCAGGGTCCACCAGGAGGAGCCATCTGCAATGCTGGTTCCTTCTGGTCTTGACCAACTCACCTCTAGAGAATCCCCACCACATCCTCTAGATATGTGCCTCTTACCCCCAGTTTCCCACCCACTTCTGTCTCTCATTCCTCTATTCCTTCTGCCTTTGCCATTTGACCCAGTGAGACCCTCTGACACATACACCACACATAGATGCCTCCTTAGTTTTTGGGACCCACTCCCTCTTTACTTCCATTCCCACTCAATTGCCTGAGCCACCCAACATGGTCAGCTTTTGTTCCCTACCCTTCTGCCTTCTACATTCAGGAAACCTCAACATCTAGTCAGGGCTGTCCTTATGGTGGGTGGGATCTGGGTAAATATTTATTGCAGGGCCTCCGACTATATAAACAATTTAATTAAAATGTATTATAAAATTCATGGATCCAAATGCAGTATAGTGATTTGCTAGTCGAGACCTTGAATAATGGCTAGAGAGGGGGTGATTATGTATACATTCAATATCCAGTCAGTGCACATGAAGAGTCTTCACGATGTCCCTGTCCTTTCTTCCCATTCAGGTCCAGGAATCACCTCTTGTTTTTTATGGTCAAATGCACCATTCCTGACTGATTTCACATCTTGCTCAGAGAAATAAAGGCATGATTCACAAGGCCATGGCTGTTCCTAGGGAGACAGCATAGACCCTCTGGCCTCTATTTCCCTAACATCATTTATTTACTGCTGGTTACATCATGGCTGGTTGCGCTGCTTTGTTCCTGTGTTGCCTGTGACGGTGGTGTCCAGTGATTCCTCAGAGGCTGTTCCTTTGTGAATGACCACAATGCATGATCTGCTCAGGACATGAAGAAAATGTTAACAATAATTCATTTTCTTGTTATGTTAAGCCTACTGTTCTAATATTATGCATAAACATAAAACACATCTTCCAACCTATTCTCTTAAACGTTTTAGGGCATAATCACGGTATCCCTATACTGTGATCGTGTTCACTGACAACTGCACCCCTACCTTCCACACATGAGAGCAGTTCCTTTCTCCAGGAATGTCCATCCCACATCTGGCTTGACTTAAGATCAACCTGGACCATGCAACGTCACCACACAGACAGGAAGTGGGGGATGATGCTGATTGGAAGAGCCGTTGCATGTTGTGAAGCGATGTTCTTGAAAGTTGTGAAGGAGATGGCTGCTTGACCTGGACAGGAGCCTCCAGAGAGGGGTGAGGGATTGCCAGATGCTGGTGGCAGGGGCACAGAGGGCACAGACCACCTGCTACCATCCCTGCTGCCCTCGGTGCTCCGGGTCACTCAGACAAAGTGACCTGCTTCCCAGGCAGCTCCCAGAAGCCACACTCAGCCATGGGGCCCCAGAACTATCTCCTAGGTACAGGTCTATGCGCTCATTGGAGCATCTGGTCAACCCCACCCCTGGGGTGGAGAGCTGGAAAGCAGCTTAGGGGAAGAAACGGAGTCAGGTCCAGGCTGGGTTATGGCCATCCCTGGGCATTGGAAAATTTCTGGGAAGTCAGGGCAGTGAGCAACATCAGGGTGGTCTGGCAAGCACCTGGCCACAGGCACTTGTCCATCTCTAGAAGCTCTGGGAAGAACAGAAAGACCTCAGTGTTGCAGAAACAAGCTTACATGGCAGGTGCCAAGGCATAGGAAAGATTGTTTTTGAAGCCTTGTGGGAGGGTAGGTCGCAGGAACATTTAAGGTCCAGGATGGCATCTGGGCAGGCTAGGGGGAGGGGAAGATGGTGAAAGTGTTTACTCACTGAGTCATCAAAAGCAAAGGCAGTGGTGATAGCTAATTTTATGTAACAGCTTGGCTGGGCCACAGTACTCAGATATTTGGTCAGACATTATTCTGGATGTCTCTCTGAAGGTATTTTTAAAGATGAGATTAACATTTAAATGAGTAGACTTTGAGTAAAGCAGATTACTGTGAGTGAGCCTCATTCAGTCAGTTGCAGACCTTAATAGAAAAAGACTAGCCGGGTTCGGTGGCTCAGCCTGTAATCCCGCGCCTTTCGGAGGCTAAGGTGAGTGGATTGCCTGAGCCTGCGGGTTCGAGACCCACCTGGGCAGCAAGCCCTCATCTCTACAATAAATAAAAAAAAAATCAGCCGGGCATGGTAGCGCATGCCTGTAATTCGGCTACTCGGAAGGCTGAGGCGGAAGGATCGCTGGAGCCCAGCAGGCGAGGCTGCGGTGGCCGGAAGCAGCCACTGCACTCCAGTCTGGGCAACAGAGTGAGACTCCAACTCAAAAAGAAAAGAAAAGAAAAGAAAAAGACTGACCTCCTCCAGAAAAGAATTTGCCAACAGATTGCCTTTGGACTCAAGTTGCAGCATTGACTCTTCCCTGGGTCTACAGCCTGCAAGCCCACTCTGCAGATTTTAGACTTGCCAGTCCTCACGATTCCATGAGCCAATTCCTTAAAATTCTCTCTCTCTCTCTCTCTCTCTCTCTCTCTCTCTCTCTCTCTCTCTCTCTCTCTCTCTCTCGTCTATCATCTGTCTGTCTGTCATCTACCTGCTTCTCTGAAGAACTCTAATAAAGCAGCGAATACTTTACTGTGAAGTTGGTACCCTGTCCACTGGCTGATGCAAATAAGAGTGAAGTTCCCTCACTCCTAGCTCCCAGACATGATGATAAGACATCTTGGGTTGGAGAAGGGAGCGACCATTCACAAGGGATCTCCTGGGATCGAGTACCACTGTTCTCCATGCCTAGGAGTTCAGGGCCAGTGGGTCAGCCCCTGGGCTCCTGCTTCCTGCCATCAGGAAAGACCAGAAGGAAAAATCAATCAAAGGCAGGAGCCGGGCTGGGCTCGGTGGTCAGCCTGTAATCCCAGCTCTTTGGGAGTCCAAGGTGAGTGGATTGCCTGAGCCCGCGGTTCGAGACCCCCCTGAGCAACTTGGCGAGACCTCATCTCTACAATAAATCAAAAAATTAGCTGGGTGCGGTAGCGCACACCTGTAGTTCCAGCTACCTGGAAGGCTGAGGCGGAAGGATCACTGGAGCCCAGCAGGTCGAGGCTGC